TCATTCATCCTCCGGGTCTACCGACTCCTTCACCACCACGAGGCTGCCCTACAGCCAGAGCCGATGCCTCACTCGTCGCCGCTGTAGCACGGTAGTCACCGCCAGAGTCTCTGCTTCCGTCGGTGTCCTCCCCTTCAGCCCGCCGCACGGCTTCATGTGTAGCCACCGTCACCGCACCCTGGCCGTCATCGACGACGCCGATGGTACGAATTATCGACAGGCAAATCTTCATGTGACGAAGACACAGCTCCTGCACAAAACAAGAAAACAAACACGGAACACTCAGTAATCACGCAAGAAAAGAAAAAAATAATGCAGATGCAAACTGCTAGACCAAACTAACCACGATCTGCATGGCGAGCAGAACGACGACCGGCATGCAAGCCTGGAGCGATGAGTGAACGTCGGACAGCTGATCATCGTCGCACCCTCCCTTATTAACACAGCCGAACCTCGAGCGGCAGGACGCACTAAAAACCACCAGAAAATAAAGATGAAAGAGAAACAAACCAGATCGTGCACAGGCAGCAGAAAACTGAGCCGAAGAACCACCAGCCCAACGCAATGAGCATCGGCGACTCAAGGCTCTGCCGTAGACACCGCCGCAGCACCACGACGACCAACCACAGAACCCCGCACCCGAGGAGGTAGCCGAGGGTCTGCCGTAGACGCCGCCGAAGCACCAGGGCGACCAACCATAGAACCCCGCACCCGAGGAGGTCAATCCGAACGGCGAGGACCATTATGGCTAGAAAATGGAGCAACCATCTAACCAACGTACGTGGGAAGAAGAAAAGATAACGCAGCTCACAACTACGTCAGCCACCGGAGGCTCTGCCGTAGACGAACCACCACGACGGCCAACAACAGACCCCCGCACCCAAGGAGGTCGACCGGAACGCCGAGGACCATTATGACTACAGAATGGACGAACCATTGGTGCTGTAGTGTAGCAAACGCAAGTGAGAAAGAATAAACAGAACGGACCACACAACTGCAAAGCCACAACACAAAAGGCATATTTATAACTAGGGAGTACCTAGAACTCATCTAGATGAGATATAATTTGGTCTCATTCACTTTGAAAACAAGAACAGATACAACCCACGTCAGCACACACACATCTTATAGCATCACATCCAATGGCTATAAAAGGTGAATGAGACCATTTTATATCTCATCTAAATGAGTTTTAGCAAAACTATTATAACTAATGGAAAGGCAAGTAGAAAAATCCAAACCAAATACAAACCATCTAGAAAGAAGGACTTAAGCGGCACCGATTACACCAAGGCCATGCAAGAGGACAGCACACACCACGAACCTCATGCACGAAGACACGCACCGTGGAAACTACCGTACAGGTCAATCTAAAGCCAGAAAGCGACCCGGGCCAACAGCGGCAAAGATCGACAGCGTTCAATCAAAACACCGAAGAAGCCTGAAGCAAAAGGACGTGATGGCAATTGCTAGACCGTCTACCACGCAGCGACGCACAATTAGCCTGCATGCATGCAACGCAAACACGTACATATAAGCTTTGTAGCACATGAGACCTATTCCATGCTAGAATGCTGCAGACAAAGGAAGGCAAAATTTTAAAACCTGCACGGTAAAGAGAAAACGATCACGTTCAAACAGCCGAAAACGACGACTCATATGAAAAAAGGGGCACAAACGAATTGGGATGACCCATATAAGGAAAGTAACCATATCAGCCTGCCCCACATGCAATGAAAAAATGCTAAGCCAACCAAACCGAATGGCACACCAGTTCAAAAAATTCCAATGAAATAAGTGAATCCACAAAGCAATTCTACACCGCCAGGTACCAAAATAATACCACGTGCCACATGCAAGATTCACCATGGGTCTTTTTCATACAAATGGCTGAATCTCACAGCGAAAACCTTGCCTGGAATAGAGGCTTGGGTATGCACACTAACATAATAGATATGATTGATTTGTTTGGGGTCTGTATATCCAGTAATCAGTTATTTTTCCAGCTTGCAAATGCTCATATTTTCCGACCATTATTAGATCCATTGTCAAGGAAATCTTTAACTCGCAGCTGCTCGATTGACTGGCAAGTAGGGGATTAATAAGCTAATTGTAAGTTAATCAATTAATCAGACGGTTTATCAGTGTAAGGGCCGCTCTCTATCTAGGGTTTCTCAGCTAGGGTTCATGGAAATTGGAATGGGGAATTAAGAAAACCGTACCTATCCGCTCAACCACCCACACAACTAAAGGTTCCAGCTACAAGTTATCAACCGAAGCCGCTATCCAAGTCCAAGCCAAATACAACGAGAGTTTTTTTTTTAAGAAATGAATACAACGAGAGTTACAAGTTTGTATTTAAACAAGTGGAGCTCCTCAATGGCTACTGGTCCAGTCAGGGTCCGAGAGCCATGTGGGATGAGTTTTCTTGCGAGTGGGCCGAGTGCCAGGCCCACGAGCATCTTTGAAACTTGGTGCGTCTTCTCCTAGATCGCTACATGGCCTTCATCTGTTGTCGCAAGAGTACTCTGTTCTACAGTCAACACCTCTGGTGCATCTGAACTGCTGACATTCCTCCCTCCTTGAGAACCGGCTTGACCCCAAGCCGTTGCATGTGGAAACTACTTCCTCAAGAACTCCAGGTCCTCCCAAGTGGCTTCAGCAAGAGAAGAATCAGACCACTCAACGAGACCTTAAGCAATTGTGTGTTTACCCACCTGGCGCACACGCTATTGCAACACTTTCAGTGAAACTTGCAGAGCTGAATGAACCGGAGGAAGAACTTGATGAAGTACAGTATCTCGAGGCAAGACACACTTTAGTTGAGAAACGTGGAAAACTGGGTGGATACGGCAACTGTGAAGAGCCAATTTGTAAGCCATGTAACCAATCTTGTCCACAATTTGGAATGACCCATAATACTTAACGCCAACTTGTGCTTAGTCCTGGAATATAAAGAGAGCTGAGCATAGGGCTGAAGCTTGAGGAAAACTTGAGGTTCCAGCTACAAGCTATCGGCCGAAGCCGCCGTCCAAGTCCAAGCCTTTTTGGAGTATCGTTTTTGTTTTTCTCGCCACGATTTCCATGAATGCCATTTCATCCTGAAATTTTGCAAGCATACAAAACATTTATCAAAGTTTACCATGGTGCATTTGAGCTCGGGAGTAGATACTCAATGATCTAGTAATTGTTAGGAGGCTTTTATATTTAATTTAATATCAGTGGGCCTTAAAAGGCCAAGTGATGGAAAGCTACTAACCAGCATTTTCTAAGTTCAACAACCTGCATTTTCTAAGTTCATTCAGGTGGTTGACGAGATGAGATAGCCTTCAAGCAGTGCAACATGACTTGGATGATGTGTGTGTGTGTGCGCTAGAGAGAGAGAGAGAGAGGAGGGAGTAGCAACACCTCTCTGTGGTTCCTCTCAGCCTCTCCTTTTGATATCATCTCAGCTGGGGAGGTCCGGAGGCCAAGCAGAGAGCCAGGGAGATAGCTGATCTGTGAGGTGAATGACACGCTTAGTTGGAATGGTTATTCGTTCCATTAAAGGTGAATTAAAGAAGCCTCCGGTCTTTGGAGAATCCTCTGGCATTTTTGCGCACAGTGTTGGAAATATTTGGAGAAGCCTCCAGTCTGAATGTCAATTAGCCGAAGTCCTCTGCAATTGTAATTCGGGAATCATGGGTTGATCGCAACCGAGTAGCCAACTTGGAATCACCATCATCTTGCCTTGACTCACTATTGTGTTATATGCTCTCGGAAAGCTAATCCTAGCATCGTTTCTACAACACCTCGGTTCCTCTCATGCGTCCAGCTCCTCCTGTCGCATCCTCAGTGTCCTAACACATGTTCTCATTCCTTGTGCCGACACTAGTCTTCTCACCTAGCCACTCGTAGTATCACCGCTGCACTCACCCAGCTGCTCATGATGTCGCCATTGGTCTCGTTCAATCCTCACAAAAAGCCAACCCCCAAATTCAACCCAACACACAACTCACAACATCCACATAGCCATGTTTTTTGCAGGCAGAACAAGTTTTGCAGAGTGCAGACTTAGATTCGAAGATTTCAAGAGTGTGGAGGACTCCTGAAAGGGCCCTAAATCTCAATAAATTGAATTAAAATGTAAAAGAGTATCATCCAACATAGCGCAGGTCCAGCAATGTCTGGTCACAATGTTTTCCACACTCCTATTTCTATATAGGTGATAACAAGGAGACATGGGTTAAAGGTCATGTTCGTGATACACAACATTCAATGTAACAGTAGCTACCGCATGTGTCGAATCACAGCATCGCCAAATAGACCCACTAGTAAAATAACAAAAAAAGCTGAGTAAACCGTATCAAAACGGGGTTTGTTTTGAATATCTCACTGAGAAAAACAATAGTGATACAATTCATAATTTAGACACATTTTTTCCCTAAAAAGGAGACCACCTTCCCAATCACTTCCATTCCCACATCATTCTTAGCCCAAACTGTAAACTAGATAACTCTTCCTGGAATCAACCGAAAAGGATGTAAGAATAACTAATAGATGAGCTGCTGTTTATATATAGTGTATACACGCACATACACTTACAAAGGAGAGCTACAGTAGTGCATTAATTTGTTACCGAGTATGTGAAATATTTACTAGGTCTACTGCCCCCTCTGTTTATTTGTACACATGGACAATATATACTCTGTTAGCAAACAGCCTGACTGACTGTTGATTTGCTTGGACCGACAAATTCTTTCATGTTGCTAGCATACTCGTTTGAGAATGCAAGCCAGGTAATATGCTGACAACTGCTGTTGCTATAGGGCTATTGCACAACACTAGGATGGTTATACATTTTATATTACATTTATCTGATATTGCAGGCATACACAGCCTCTGTATTGCTTAGGAAAAAAAGAAAGAACTTCTGAAATTATTTAGAACTTCAGGTCTACTAGATAACAAAGCGAACTGAAGCGACATTCATACACAACCACTGGTGTTGCAGGCTCATATCATTCCAGATCGAATGTCTCGAGCCGAGGCACCTCTTTTGCTCCATGCCCCCCTGTATGATTAGCAGCAAACACAAGGTACTCATCTCTGATTGCGTGCATGTCTGCCGCTGCATCTCTCCCCAGTGCTCGGTCTCGAGGTTGTTGCTTCGAGCAGGATATGCCAAGCCTCAAGACTGAAATCAAGCACTCTTGGATTCTAATACTTGTAGTGTTATCCTCTTGTCCGTTGTGCAGCCACATTGTTGGGTCAGCTATCGCCAGGGTCCTATTTGGAAGAGCATCCTCGACAAACTTATGTAGATCTAGTGAATCTCTAAACGTGCCTCCTGTTGGGCTCCTTCCCGTAAACATCTCAAGTAGCAATATGCCAAGGCTATAAATATCACCATATGTTGAGACCGCAGAGCCTTCTCCGTACTCTGTAAATATGCAAGGTTTTGTGGTTTGCATGCCATATTTGAGTGAAAAATAAAATTTAAATTTAGAAGAGTTTCAGTCACCTGGAGCAACATAGCCTATGGAACCTCTAATTCCAGTTGAGCCATATGAAGTTTGCATCCCCTTGCTTGTATTTTCTTGAAGAATACTTGATATGCCAAAGTCTCCAATTCGGGCGCTCATGTCTTCAGTTAGAAGAATGTTGCTTGGCTTAAGATCACAATGGATTACTAATGGTTGACAGTAGTTGTGCAGATATTCTACCGCATCCATGATATCGACAGCAATATCAAGCCTCTGGGCAAGGCTGAGCGTGTTGTTTGCAGTGGGCTCTTGAGATTTTGGATGAAGCCAACCATCCAAGTTACCATTGGGCATGAACTCAAAAACCAATGCCTTGAACTCCTGACCTTGGTGGTTGACACTCGAACAAGAAGTAATGATCTTGATGAGACAACGGTGTCGTATCCTTCTCATGGCCTCACATTCAGCCTCAAAACTCTTGGAATACCTAGATGGACCAAGATTGAACACCTTGACAGCCAATGTTCTTTCTTCCGAGTCCAAAACACACTTATAAACCACACCATAACTTCCTCTCCCAAGCAAGTTTGCATCTGAAGATCCATTAGTTCCTCCAAATAATGCATTATATGAGATTCGTTCATATTGCTCCTCGCTAGTTGAAGATTCCACCATTCCCTTCTGCCTTTGTCTGAGCTTCTTGTAAAGCATCCGAACAAGAAGAATAACTGAAAGTGAGAACAAGATTGTTCCTGTTGTTGCCAAAGAAATTATTACAGACTTCGACATCCTTTTGCCACTCTTGCTTAAGGGGTTTGTTGAGCATGCAACCAAGTGAAGTTGAGGTGTACCACCACACAAATTGCTATTCCCATCAATTGCTATGTAAGTGATGTTTCTGAAAACACCTCCATGTGGCACCTCACCTTGGAAATTATTGAAGGATACATCCAATTTGGACAACGATGTCAAATTCTGTAGAACTGTCGGGATTAGACCTGACAAGTTGTTGTGTGCTAGGTACAGTTCGTGTAGGGCTCGAATGCTGCCAATGGCGTCAGGGATATCGTACCAGACAAATTATTCATGGTAAGATTCAATATATTGAGCCCTTTTATATTTTCCAGAGATTGGGGTATGCTTCCTTCAAATAAATTCTTATCCAATAAGAGCTTTTGTAGAACTATGCAATTTCCTAAACTGCTAGGTATTTGGCCAGTCAACTGGTTTCCTGACAGGATCAGTTCGTTGAGGTTAGTCATGGTACCAGCTTCTGGTGGGAGGGGTCCAGAAAGAGAATTGTATGATAAATTCAAGTACCATGAAAGTGAAGGCAGCTGAAAAATTTCCACGGGTATCGAACCATTCAGTTGGTAATTTGTGGACAAATCTAGAAGGAATAGGTTCTTCAGTTTCCCGAGACTTTCTGGTATTGGTCCTTCCAGGTTGTTGTAGTATGCAAGCAACCTAGTTAACATTGTGAGATTTCCTACAGATGGTGGTATGAGGCCTCTCAAGCCACTGCTATACAGGCCAAGGTCAATCAAGTTTTTTAGCTTTCCAATGCTCTCTGGGATCACTCCTGACATAGAAGTATTCACTATCAATAGTACCTCCAGACCAGCTAGATTGCCGATGTCTGCAGGGATACTCCCAGATATCTTAGTGTCATCTAAGCGTAAGTTCTGGAGAGTAGTTGAGAGGTTCACAATTGAACCTGGTAGTTGTCCCCCGAAAGGGTTGCTGCTGAGTATCAAACGTCGCAGTTGGCTACAGTTTTCTAAAGAAGTGATGAATTCCCAACCCTCCTCGTCATTCGCCTCAAGCCTATTTTCAGTCAAGTACAGATCTTGGAGAGCTCCGAGCCTCCCCAAAGTGGGAGGCACATACCCGCTAAATCCATTATAATTGAGGCTGAGCATCATGAGGTCAGATAGATTGGATAATGATGAAGGGATGGTTCCAGTGAACTGGTTAGGACCCAAAACGAGAACTTGCATGGTGGGCAACTTGTTGCCGATATCAGCTGGAATGCTTCCGTACAACATATTGCTTCCCACCCCAAATATTTTCAGTGACGATAAGTTGTAGAGAGCGAGTGGAAGCATACCAGAGAGGTTGTTACTGGACAGTCCGAGTATCTGCATGCTCTGGATGCTGCCGAGCTCCGGTGAGATCGAGCCCACAAGCTGGTTATCAGAGAGATCGAGGTGCTGCAGGTGGCGTAAGTGCCTGGGGCTCCCCGGAATCTCCCCGTGGAGCCCGTTGGAGCTCAGGTCGAGCTTCTGCAGGAACGTGAGGTTCCCGACGGCTGGGGATAGTGCTCCGGTGAGGGCCATGGCAGGCAAGCTCAGCTCCACCACCCGCGCGGGCCTCCCGTGCCTGCACGTCACGCCCTCCCAGCTGCAGAAGTCGGCGCTGCTGTTCCAGGAGGCAAGGGAACCACCGTCACCGACCTTGGCTCTGAAAGCGAGTAGCGCAACCTCGTCGCCGGCGCTCACCACCACGGCAATGACCATGAGGACAGCGAGAAGTGGCAATGGCAAGCTCATGCCCTGGCTCCAGGTTTTGTTGCCCATAATAGCAATTCGTTGCTTCAGTTATATTCTGGTCACGCGTGCATCCCAGCTGCAGTTATATTGTGTTTTGTTGGAAGCGCCGGTGCGAAAATTTCAACACGTAGTGTCTGTCTTCATCGCTTGGTTCACTTTCAGTAGCTGGCCGATGTAGACTTTTACTCGTCTTTTGACTTGATCAAATGCCCAACCTGCAGAACTGGTGATTATCTGCCTCAATCGGTCAAGATTCATGTTGAGATGGCGTGGTATTATTGTCTAGCACCGATTTTGTGTTCTGTTGCGACTACAGGGTATCTCTCAGTTTGACTTCCCGCCAAAAAAAAATTCTCAGTTTGACTAACTGCTTCATTGGAAGTTCAACGTGTGCATAGAAAAGACCACATCAAACTTGATTTTTGGTCTTGTTTAGTTGGCAGGTAGCAAAGGTCTTTGGTCTTGCTGTGTGATTGCCCTGTGCCTGTTGCAAGTGATTCCAAAAATGTCCAAATCGCTATTTATGTCCCATCACTATCATTTCTCATAATTAATTTAGACTTTGCCTTCTTTTGACCACTTCCCAGTGACTAAATCTCGAACCACATACTTCTGCAAAGGCGTCCACCATCAGTCAGTAATGGCTGCCAAATAGGAGAATGCTGATCAGCGCAACAAGTATGGTTCTAGTCAATAAGTGTAATCCTTTTTCAGACGACAAGTATGGTAAGACGGTGTGTTGGTTAATCTTATATCAATTTTTTGTTTGGCAACAAGGTTGTATTCGATTTTGCGAGAAACTTTCAATCTATTCATCTTCAATCATGACAGTGTAACGAACACCAGAAATGATAAAAATCGCATCCAGATCCATAGACCACTTAACGACGACTACAAGCACTGAAATGAGCCGAAGGCACGCCGCCTTCATCGTCCCTCCCTCGCCGGAGCTGGGCAAAACTTGTTGTAATAGACAGTCGGGAAGTTGTCGTGCTAAGGCCCAATAGGACTAGCGCACTAGAACAACAACCACCGCTGATGAAGAGTAGCGTAGATCGAAAGGATTCCAGTTAAACACACACGAACATAGGCGAACGACCACCGGATCCGAACAGATCCACCAAAGACAAATCCACCAGAGACACATCTCCACATGCCTACCGACGATGCTAGACGCACCACCGGAAAGGGGACTGGGCGAGGAGAACCTTATTCTATCTTCAGGGAGCCGCCGCCGTCTCGCTTTCCTAAGGAGGACACGAACCATAACAAAGATCAAAGAAACATCTAAAAATAGAGGGGGGGTTGTTCTAAATTAAATTGAAATAATTTTTGGGCCGAGCATATAAATTATGAATCATTTCCACGTTCACAATCCTCGTGTCATTATATTTAAAACTGTACTCATGTTCTTAGATTTTCATGATTATTCAATGTACCTTTATTTTACGTCGTAGCCATCGTGATTGTGCACCAAAGGTTGTGTATTCACTGTGAGTAACGGACATTGTGTCAATGTTTTCTTTGATAAATGTAAACTTAAATGTCCGCAAAAAGGCACGACCAGAGAAAGATGGTAGTTTGTGAAACACCAAATGTTCCAGGTTCACATTGTTCAAAACCATTCAAATATACATGCAAAGTTAGTAAACAAAACACACAAAAAATAAAACCCATAACATAAAAAAGAAAAGAAAAAAACTAGACTCCTATAAAATGGCCGACTGGGAGGAACACGCCA